ACAACAACAACAACAACCTCAAGCAGCAGCATAGAAGAGGACATTGAGGAAGCGATTGAGATAAGTGAGGTGGAGGAGCAACTGCACACGAACCTAGATTCGCTGTCCGGGGCAGCTGTTTTTGCTCCTGGTACAACTAAAGACGAGGACCCGCAATTAGAACAAAGTGCCAAAATCGCAAGCGACGCAGAAGCTGCCAAGTTTCGCATTGATGATGCTCAACTGTCTGGTGGCCAGCTGGCCCAGCATTTTCTGGTGGACGAAGAAGAAAGTGATGAAGATCATGTGGAGCCAAGCAGCCCGAAAGATCAAGCAACCACGACTGACGATGATGATGACTTTGACATTAGCCTTCCGTTGGAACAGCGTAAGCCAGTGCACTCCCGTCACGAGGATGACGTAGATGCGTCGTCCCATGGACCGGATGAAGGGGGGGAGAGTCCCAGCAATCAGAGCACCACAGACGATGTCTCTGACTTTGTAGACGAGCCGCAACAGACAACGGAATCGGCATTGGATGCCAAAAGCTTAGCCGAGCAGGAACATGCCAGTACAATGGCATCGGCCGTGTCGGAGTTTGCCGACCATGAGTCCAAGCTGGCTGAAAGTGAGCTAGAAATAGATGCTGAGGCACCTAGCGAACAGGATCACTCTATGGAGGAAATTGTAGCCACTAATGAGTCTATAGAAATAACCTACGATGCGGAAGAAGCAGCTGCCAGCCACTCGCAGCTGACTGCATCGCCAAAATTGGAAATAGTAACCGATTTAGATGGGCCGAAGACATCAGAATCACATTCTGTGGAACACCTGAATCTGCCACAAATACAAATGCCTCAAATAGTCGAGCACAGATCCGCTAAGGTCCTGGAAACCCTGCATTTGCGACCCGAGCCACTGGATCTGATTACTTCAGATCTCGATGACGACGAGGATGAGGACGAGGAGTGCGAAATGCAACTGTTAAAGCTTCGTTTAATGGCCATGCACCAGCAGACGCTTTCTGATAACGGAGCCAAAGGCTCGCCCACGGAGTCGCCGGCTTTACAGGAGGGTGGCAGCAGCGCTGGGAACGTGGAGCTTAAGCAGATGGAACGTGTGCCGCTGGCAGAGTTCAGCAAAGATGTGCTCGAGGACATTACAGAAGAGAGTGAGCGCTTACTTTCCATTAGCACCATAGCGGAGGAACCCAAATCTCTGTCCCTGGAGGAGTCAAAAACATTGCAGGAGCCCAGGCCTGGCAGCAATACAAGCATGGTGAGCTTGAACATGTTAAAGCAGCTGGAGGCCAAGGTGCAAGATCTGCATTCGCAGCTGGAGACCAAAGACAACTGTCTGGCCTCACTGAATTTGCAACTGGAAGCGGCGCGTCGTGAGTCCAGCGCCGGTCCGGCATCCGCTCGGGACAGCAGCTCGCTGGTAACTAACTCAACGGAGTATCGCACATTCCAAGAGGAGTTTGGTGCGCCGGTAAGAGATTATTCAATAGCCCATTTCCAATAACTACTAATGCCCCCTTCTCTACAGACACTTGACATCTACGTGGAGCTGTCCCGGCGCGATGAAATAATCGCAAAGCTAACGGATTCACTGCAGCACTCTTTAAATGTCCGAAGCCAGCTGCAGTCAGATTCAGAAAGGCTTGGTGAGGAAGTGCAAGCCCTACGCAGGCAGCTGCATGATGCCATCGACACAGTCAAACGGAGTGGTTGGCCTGACCAGCAGGCCAATGCCGGACAGCGCATCTCCGAAATATCCATGGATCTGATCAGCGAAAGCGACGACGATCTGGAACGTAACTTTCTCACCGACCACGAGGATCGTGGATCCCGCAGCTCACGTGAGCGGCAGCTTTCGGTGCCAATCGATGACCTGGGCGTGGAGCCGTTGCCTCCTGAATGGCCGCCAGCTTTCAGCAAGCAAATCGAACAGTTCCAAAAATGTCTGCTGCCCGGCGAGCTGCGCCCATTTCTTTTGGTACAGCGTAAATTTGACGACTATCTAACGCAGCAGTTGGCGCAGTGCCGGGATCAGTGCGCGCAAGAACTCAAGATCAGCCGTGATCAGTGGGAGAACGAGAAATTGGCAAGCGAGCAGGCCCAGCATGTGGCACACACTAAACAAATGGAGGAACTGCGCAAATACTTTGAGGGCCGCTGTGCCGACCTAGAGAAACAGTTTTCCGACGATGTATTCTCGCATAAGTCCCAGCATCTGGCCGGCGACAGCTCCTCCGAGTGCTCGGAAGTAGAGCAGCTGCCCGAGGAAGCCGCCTCCAAGGAGCCGTCTCCGCGCAAGCGTAAACGCGCCGAGCTACTGCTCAGTCCCAGCCATCGCCAAATAACGCCCAGTGGACTGGATTCCCTGGGCGAAACAGCGCCCACTTTAAAGGAAACTAAAGACAATGTGAGTTAAACATGCAGTTAGCTTTTTGGATCCAAAAATGAAATTGTAATTAAATTTATTTTCAGATATCGCAGGAAATTGCAGACCTCAAAATATTCTATCAAACCCACATACATGAGCTGAAGCGCTCCCACGCCGACCAGCTGCGCAAACTGACGGAGCGTCTGAGATTCTACGAGCGTCGTCAAGCAGATGATGACTACTTGGTAAGTTTTCACTTAAATTGCTGCATGCTTCTGTCTTTGTATGAAACTAACACAAAGCTTCAAATGTGATTAACTTTTTGAGTCTCATATATATGGGATTACCTGCGTCCGTCAATTGACCAGCTGCTAACTGCATGTTCTTTCTTGTTTCTTTACTTTTATAACCCAATAAACAACATAACCAAACTGTCACTACCTGGCACGGCCACAACTAACCTGCACACAGCCAACCCACAATTCACCGCCTACCTGCCAAAAAGCCAGCCAAGATAAATTGGATGTGGGGCCAACGCTTGCCCAAAATCCAAACAGTTCGCTGATCATTATCGACGAGGATGAGTTGAACCTGAATAACGAATCGCAGGTAATACAGCGCATCATCGAGGAGTACGAACGACGGCTGCAGGAGCAACTGGCGCTGGCACGCCAGGACATTGCCACCGAGCTGGAACAGCAGATACAGGTGAGGTGTGGAGCGTGGAGCGTGGAGCGCACATGCATGTGGTTGGCTCTTCATCGCTGCTCTTTGACAACTTTAATACTTTGCCTCACTTCCGTGCATGTTCTGCATGCTGTGTGTGATTCACCAAGCTGCGTCTGTAATTCTCGTAACCAAAATTATTTCTGTCCACTCGTTCAATGAAATTTCACGCACCGCGCGAAAATCGTGCAAAATTTTGTCAGGTCGCCAAAAACAAAAAAAAACAGCAGCGAAACGCAATTAATTTTCCTGTGCGGAGTTCTTCAGCTGTACGTGTGGCCACACAAATGGCACACAGATACTAAAGTTAGGCAAAGATCATTTCAGTTAGCTGACACGAGGTGATCATTAAACAACAACAAATTCTTCGCTTTCGCTTTTCTTGCAACTGATTCGTAATTGAAATAAATCTGTTCTTGGAGCAGCTATTTTAAGGCCAATGTCAACGATCCCAGTCGAATGTGTGGACGTGTGTCAACCCTTACCCGACTCCGCTTCCAGCCAGAATGTTCTGAAGCGGATTTATGGCGACAAGTGAGATAATTTCTGTATAACTTAATGGAACATTCGCAAGAGTTTGTCATCGTAACAGTAGAATCTTAACAAGAGTTTCAAGCAGGGTCTCATCTGTGTAGGGGCAAAATTGAGGACAACTAAATGTGTGTCACAAATATGTTCTAACAAAAAAATATATTTTTATTTACATTGTGCACATGCATATAGATACATACGCATGTATGTGTGGTATTTGTTTGTTTGCCAACAAAATTTAGCAGAGATTTTTCAGTTCGTTTATTTGCTTGTAGGATGCATGCATATGTATGCATGCGTGTATCCATGTGTGTATACGCCAATTTATCGTACAAACTAAACATGTGCTTCGCGTTGAAATACTCATAAACAAGCGTCTGGCTATGCAAGCACTTCACATAAACGAAAGATTGTCCCAGCCTAATAAAGCCCGGCCGGAAGTGTGAAGGGTAGTCCGGCTTAGAATTAATTAACTCCGCCGAATTATTGGTGCATACATATGTATATTTAGAAGTGTCGACAAACGAGTGAAATTACATGCATGCGTATGCACATACGCATTAATATACACATACATATACTTACATGTGGATGTAAGTGCAAGAACAGTGCGCAGCTCACTGTCCAAAATTAACGAACATAAATTTAAATTAATCTCAACACGCATACAAGCACACCAGTGCGGGCAAGCAGTGCAGCGCGCACTGCTTTGCCCACACTAAGCAAATGCTCTCGCTCTCTCTTCCGCTCTTGTTCGACCGTGCCGATCTTTATTAAATGGCCTGTTTGCTTGCATCGCCTGCTCAGTCTTTTCCGTTACTTCAAGGCGTACGTATGTTAAATCACGTTGTGTGTACGAGTTGCCGAATTATAGATACAAATGTATATGTAAATACGCGAACAGAAGTGGACATAAATATACATATGCATATATATATAAATAAATGTGTGCATAAGTGAATTAGCATAAAAACATGTGTGATTATAATATCTTCATATAAAGTGAATAACTTAATACAATAAACAATAAATCAACAAAAGCACAATACATACACAGACATATCTGTGTACATAGATACAATTGAAAATTGAATTATTATGCTGCTCAAGTTCTATGACCATAACTGTGTGCGTGTGCGTGTAGTCTTCAAATAAATATACATATGCATACATACATACATACATATGTGTGTATGAACAGTGAAACGTTCATTGATTAAATCAAATTTGTGAGTGAATTCGCGAGAACTAACTACAATTCAAATCTAACGGTTTTATGGTTAGCGTATTTCAAAAAAAGTAGCATACATACATGCATATAAAGGGGATTTTTGGATTTGAAAGAGCTACTAAGAAAGTAAGAGCATATAAATTATTATAATTAAAGTTACAAATTATAAAAATTATTTAAAAAAATTATTTATCTATAAACAAAAAAAATATTGTCTTAAATTTTGCAAGAACGCAGACGGGCTTGCTGCGATTTATCTATTTAGATTTAAAAATGTGGAAGTGTTTTCGCTTCCGTGTAGCCAACATAAATTGTATAATGGCTATGCATGAATATATATTTTAGGTTTTGGGTCTCTTGGCTTGCATAAAGTTGCGATCTTACAGACAGATCGACAGACAGCAAGCCAAACATTGAACAAAACCAATATACTGTTTCTAACTTTTGGGAACAGAGTGTAAAAATACACATAAATATACAGCACGAATGAGTACAAATGTATAATGCATATTCCGATCGAACCCAAAGTTCTCTGTAAGAGCCCCAGGCAGATCGACAGACAGCAAGCTAAACATTGAACAAAACCAATATACTCTTTCTAACTTTGGGGAACAGAGTGTAAAAATACATCAAAATACAGCCCAAACCAAAAATTGTGTACGAAAATGTGTAGAATGTATATTCTGATCGATCCCAAAGTTCTCAGTAAGAGACCCACCCAATCACAATAATCCGTGAGGCATACAGTAAACACTTTTGGCTTTTGACGTGCTCCAAAACTAGGAAAAGTCGTTGCCCTTTTCCAAAACCATAAACACTATTCCTCTGTCAGGCAGTCGCAGCATGTGATGTTATTTTTGGTTAAGGCGCAAAAATTTGGTTTTCAGTTGGTGCCTATTTTGGAAAGTTGTTCTATTTATAATGCGACACTCGGCTCGGAGTAGAGTACACATTCTGCATGTGCATTCGAATCTCTTGAACGGTGTGCACTCACCATTTGATACCGATATCGATTTTCTCATTAACTAAATTTTCTAATTGATTTTTAATTGAATGGCTGACACGCCCACAAAATGAAGCAATTGGCAAGCCAATTAGCAGCAGGCGCTGTCTATATAAGCCCATTTTTCCGGACCCTCAATCCAAGTATACTAGAGCCATGAGTTCGGACAACATAAAGGCTTCGCGGATTTTGGTGCGCATTCTTGGGTTTTGCGGGCTGTGGCCCAGCCATGGCTCATCCCGATCCACGAAATGGATCCCCGGCTGCAAACGCTTTCAGCCACTTGCGATTCATTTCATTGTGACCTTTACCTTCACGGCCATGATGTGGATCGAGGCTTTGGGAAGCGACGACTTCGAGCACTGCACCGATGTGCTTTTCATCACGCTGACGATGACTGGGCTGGTGGCTAAGATTTTCAATAACTGGCGTCATGCTCACATTGCCCGCGAGCTGCTTCAGGAATGGAGCGCTAGCCGGCAGTTTGAGGTTCGAGCTGGGCAGGAGCGCGATATGTGGGAGCGTGAACAGCGCAGGTTCTCCAGAGTCGTCCTCTTGTACAGCTTCTGCAGCCTGGGCGTGGTTCCTTGCATCTTCATATCGTCGGCGGTCAACTATCCGAATGAGCTGCCGTTTTGGGTGTGGGTGCCCTTTGATTGGCAGCAACCGACCAAGTTTTGGTACCTATTCGCCTATGAACTTTTCGCTGTGCCATTTACGTGTCTCTGCAACATAACAATGGATATGCTCAACTGTTACCTTATGCTGTATATCTCGCTATGCCTCCAATTGCTGGGAATGCGCATGGCTGCACTGACTCCAGCAGGGCAGGGCAACTCTGAGCGGCAGCTGTTCGCACAGCTCGTGGAGGTGATTAGGCTTCACAGACGCGTCAAGAGCCACGCCAAGAAGATCCAAATCTTCATTTCGAAGAGCACGCTCATTCAGATCTTGCTCAGTGCCATAATACTGTGTCTCTCCATCTACCGCTTGCAGATGGTAAGTGCGCAGGCTATGTGGTCAAGTGTCTATCACTCAATCTGTTCGTTCCTTGCCAGCTTAATGTGCTGCAGGCTCCGGGCATGTTCGCAGCTATGACACAGTATTTATTCGCAATGACCATGCAAATCTTTCTGCCCAGCGTTTATGGCAACGAAATTACCCACAATGCAGATCAGTTGCCCAACGCGCTCTACAGTTGCCAGTGGCCGGACATGTCGAAACGTATGCGTCGTCTAATACTCTGTTTTTTTATCTACTTGAATCATCCGGTTGCCCTTAAAGCCGGCGGCTTTTTTGAAGTGGGCCTCCCACTTTTCACCAAGGTACCGATTACTTGCAGTTAGACTTTGTTTTACCTTTTAATGCTACTTTATTACAGACCATGAACCAAGCGTATAGCCTTTTGGCCTTGCTTCTCAACGTCAACAGCAAATAAAAGACGTTCGTTGTGAACGAGTCTTTTAGTTTGCAAATATATCACAAATTTAAACGAATTTATATGCACATATGAATAGTTTTGTAGTTTCAATTCAAAATAAATGTACATGGCGTTGCTTTGATTTTGCAGGCATAAAATTAAGATGCTCAGGCAATACGCTCTGTTATAGAAAATATTGCATAAAGTTGAGGAATATATTACACAAATCTCGCTCCGAGAAAGGCAAAATGAAAACCTATTCTGAAACTCGATAAATTTGATCTGCTTGCGTAATAAAAGGATCTACTTAAAGCATCCTGATTTCATAGCCTCAGAGATATAAGTGGAATATTGACAGACAAGACTAGATCGGCACAGTTATTGATGCTGATGCGTGTTACAAACATTTCCCATAAAATAATCCCAGTTCTTTTATACCTAATTTAAATTTATCCAAGTTCTCCAAGGCATATTAATGGAATATGCATTTTCTCACATTAGTCGGAACAATCAAATTTCCTATGTTGGTTTTTCGGATCTCATGTGTTGAGCAGTTTTATTTTGTTTTTGCATAAAAACGAAATGGATTATAAACACGAATTTATGACGTATGCACTTTTGCACACATGTTGTTTTTATTTCTATTTATTATTTCAGTCAAGTTATGCAACCAACTAAAAATACTTATTTCTGCTATGCAATTTTTGCATGCGGTTGCATGTAAATTTTTAAAATGGGACGTAAATAAAAATGTTTGTTTTTCCTTAACATATTTTTCTTTTGTTAAAATATCAGGTGCAACTTTGGGACGCTTTTTTCTCTCTCTCTCCATCTCTCATTTTCACTTTCACTGTCTCCCTCTCTCTCTTTCTCTATTTATCTCTCTCTCTCTCTCTATCTTTCATACTGTTTTCTGCGTGTTTTTGTTTATAAAATGATGTTCGTATGTACCTAAAGGGTATCTTCTAGTCTTGCATTCCCTATTCATTTCTATATTTTCAATGTGCCATTTTTCGCAGCAAACCACATGAGAAAAGTAGGTATGAGAGGAAACCAAAGTAAATAAATAAGTTAATCAGAGAGCTGGAAAATATTAATCAGCTGAGAGCACGACCCCAGTGCCAGAGATAAGGAAGGCATTAAGAACTGCAAATGTTCGATCTACTTGAAATTACATTTATTTGAATTTAATTCAGTTTTTCGTTTTAATTTAAAAACATTTGCCACCACTTGATGCAGCTGCCACTGCTGCTGCTCTTCAACTTGCCCTTTCCCTTTCCAAGATTGTGGCATGTTTATTGAGATTTATGTTGCACCCTCCCACTCCTACAGATGAACCATTCTCGGGGCAACGTCGCGACTTGTCGATGATGATAAACAAAAACGCGGCGGACACCCACTCGACTTTCCCTCCTTGTCTGACCAAAAATTGAGAATGTGTAGCGTAAACGTTTAACACCATTTCTCTGCCATGAACATGAAAATGTTTTGCTTTGATATGACTATAAACAATAAATATTTATGTCCTGTTGCGATGAAATGCAGCTTTTCGAAGAACTGCCTGTCCAACGCTCCATTGATCTGGTCTTATATGTGTCCAATATGCGAGCAACTGGTGCACCAGACTTTCACAGACTCTGAATCTTATGGTTTTTGTTTATATACAAGCTTGTTTTCATTATTAATGTCCATGTCTAAATTGATTTTGCAGAGTTTGTTGTCGGAGAGCGCAGTCGACGACCAACATTGGCCCAAGGAGCTTATACTGTTACGAGAGAAGTTTACGGCCAAGAGTCAATTGGAGATAACCCAGTTGAATATAAAACATGCCGAAGAGGTGAGTTCTTTAAATCTAGAGATATGAATATAGTCCTCTATTAAAGCGCTCATCAATCAATCGACAGATGTCTCGCATGAAATTGGAATATGAGAAACAGCTCAACCGCAAGAACAAGCGGCATCTGACGTTCGATTCGGGACGGGACTTGGAGCTCATTATTAACGAGCGCGATGGATTGCGGCAATTATCGAAGAGCTTCCGCAGCGTGCTCAGTCGCTTGGCCAAATGTGTGGCCAATTGCGAGGGCGATCTCAATGCGACGCTCTCCGAGGAAATGCAGCGCATCCTAACCCAGAGTCGCAGCCAGGAAGGGGGCGAGGATCTAGAGCACACGCTGAGTAGCTCCTTGCTACAGGGTTCGTTTAACAACACAAAACACCTGCGCCTGGTGCCCGATGTGCACAGTCTATTGGAGGTGGTTGAGGATCCCAGTCTAGTGCAGTTCATCGACAGCAAAAATAGCGATGATCAAAACGATTACTTTGATCTGGGTGATTGCCTAGAGCGCCTGAAATCGGAGGCCGCCTACTTGCTGCAGCTGTCCGAGGATCTGGACAGGCAGCGCGCCAACGAATCTATGGAGCGACAGGATGAGCCTGAGAAACAGGAACACGAATTGTGCTGCGAAGCCGAGGACGGTCTAAAAACAACAGCGCCAGTGCCACCAACTCAGCAGCAGCTGCTGCACGAGCTACTGCGCACCAGCTCGCTGAATGATCAGCATCTGGGCGTGGCACATCAGCGCAAGAGCAGCAATGGCGCGCAGATGATTAAGCCGCTCAGCTCGCTGCCGCTTGATCTGCAGCAAAATGCGGGCAACGCCTCCGAGCTCAGTTTTCAGCTAGTGGAGCTTAAAAATCGCCTGGTTAAATCGGAAACAGATCGACAGAATCTTCAGCAGCAGCTAACGCATACTATAGATCGTAATGCGGAGTTGGGTCAGGAGCTGCAGGCGCTGCGCGATCAGCTGTCGCAGTTGAACTCGTTGAACCATACCGATTATGCCGAGGGCTACGGCCTGGGCGACATGAAGAGCCCGCAAGCGCTGGATCAATCGTCGGCCAGCTTTGTGCAACTCCAGGAGAGGGCACGTCATCTGCTGACCTCGCCCACGCAACAGCAGACACAGGAGCAGGGTAATGCAACAGTTCTATTGCTCCAGATGATAGAGGACTTTTGCCGCGAGGGCGATAAGGTGGTCGAATTTGGCAAGAAGGACCGCGAGGATCTGCAGTCACAGGTGAGTTACACTGTAGACAGTTGTCGTAATTACCGATCCCTGTCATGTTGTTGAGTGCCTAACGCATGATCAGTAGATTAGCCGTTGAGCGCGTCTAGTTTTAAGCTAAGTACAAGCATAGGTTATTACCTCCCATCCATGCTAAACCATCACAACAGATCGATACCGCCGACAAACAGCTAAAGGCCACGCGGCAGTTCCTGGAAGAGCAGGCCGCCGAGCGCGAACAGGAGCGCGATGAGTTTCAGCGCGAGATTGAGCACTTAAAATTGCAGCTGCGCGACAAGGAAAAAGAGCGCAGCTCTTTTGCCAATGCCTCTGAGGAGGTGAGTGCCCTTCTGTCAAGGGTCTTTCAGTCATATATTACTTATGATATACTACTTATGATTTGGGATTGGTTAAATGTTTTTTTTTCGTTTCGTTTGGTTTGCTATGGATTTGTTCTATTTCTTCTACTGGACTATTTTGCTGATACTATTTGTAATTTATAATGTGATTTTGATTTCAATATTGGCATAGGTCAAAAGGTCTTGTGAATAGTTTAAGTTTCCTTTTCCTTCCTTGCACCGATACCTAAATCAAATTACACGCTTACTATTTACAAACTGATATCAAAAGTGCACAAAATATTACACAAATTGGCTAAATCTCACTTTTCTGAAGTATTTGATAAAACTTTAAAGCAAACAATTGATTGACTGCTCAAAAATTAAAAAAAAAGCACCTGTTGTGCGTTTTTCAAAGTATAATCCAATCGGAGGCCTAATGTACCCCCTCTGGTGAACATTCCATCTGCTTTTTTATATCGAAGTCAAGGGCAGCATGATTTTCTGATATATACACACACACACACACTAAATGTATCTTTCGTAAGCATGTGCCGATGTATTTATAGATACAACAGCAGAAAGCAATCATTTGGTAGCGCGGGAGTCACTTAATTTTCTTCCGTTTGCAAAATGTTTTACACACACAATATATTTTTTTTTGATATGCACTAACAATAAATGTTAATATTTATTATTCCAATTCCAAACGTACAACCTTGCATGCTCACACAGTAATAACAATAACAATAATAATAATAACAACAATCTAATCTATTTCCAATATACCTAAAAAAAAAAAACCTAACTGCACCTGAAATTGATATGCACCACAAACATTTAAGTTGAGGGTAGTGAAGGAGAAGCATGTAAGTTGCCACGCCCAGACCCATGCACTTGATTAGCTTATAGGAAAACAAAACACTGTTCCCATAATTATGGAATATTCCTCCCAACAGTATGCTCAGCTGGAGACGCAATTGCGCGAGATGAGCCAACAGTTGGGCGAGTCGAATGCCAAGGGAGACAAATTGGAAGTGGAACTGAAGGCGTCCATTGATAAGATCTTTGTGCTGCGCGAGATTATCTCTGAGCTGGAGACACAGGTGCAGACCAAGGCGCTCAACGAGCAGGTTCTAGACGAGAAGGCTAAGCAGCTGGAGGACTATGTCAAAGTACAAATGTGCTCCAATGATGCACTGCAACAGGAAGTGCACAGCCTGAAGACAGACATAGGCGAGGGCTATCAGACGCGCATCCGCCAACTGGAAGAAAAACTGCAACAGGGACTGCCCTCTGCCGAACAAAGCATGGTGCTCAATCAGGTGACGGAGCAGCTGCTTTTTATTGAAACAACTTTGGATCAGAAGACCAAAACACTGGAATCGCTGCACAACTCCAACACGACCTCCAACTCGTGCAGCCTCAGCGCCACAGAGGATGTGTCCGTCCACGGTGGCAACAAGCCGTCATCGGCTGCTCCCACAACCGAAGGCTCACCCAAGCATTCGCTGACAGTGGAGGGGGTGCAGCGCGTGGTCGAGAAACTGGACAGGCATACGCGGGTCGAGGAGGCTGCCATCAAGCGCATACGTGATCTAGAAATGCAAGTCACCCAGATGCGCAGTGGCTGTGTGGTGAGTACAAATCATTCATTCTTTTGTGGTGAAAAAATCAGAATATGGTTGTTGTCTTCACTAAGCGCAATCAATAAGATAAATCTCGCCTCAGTTCCTCGAAATTAGCTTTTTCGTTTATTTGGCAGTGGAATAAGATTCTACCCGGGAGCAAATTGTTCCTAAACCATAAAATCAGAATACTTTGAAAGTCGGTTTAAAGAGGCACCACAGTTTGCGATGCACTGTGCTATAACTAGATGGTTTCCTCACTGTGCCATAATCGCACAGTTTCTGATTGATTGTGCTATAAAGTTTTGAGGGAAATTGTGAAAAGATCAGAGTCTAAATTTGTAAATTTGAATTCTGCAGTTGTTCGGCATCGTTCGCTGTTTTGCCTCGTTCAGTTGCCTGTCGAGTGTCTCCCGCGTCGCTTGGGTTTTATTTGTCGGGTTTCATTTAAAATGGTTGATAAATCATAAGTTAATTAAATTTGCTTAATAAATATTAATAAAAGTGGCAAAGTGTCATGTTGTTGCGCTCAAAATATGCGCCCAACTTCAGCATGGTTCCAATTCGAGTGAGTTATACAAATTTGAATACACAGTCTCGTTTTTATAGAAGCGTTGACAAGTGGCACACAATTGAAACTGAATTGGTATGCGTAGCATTTGTTAATAAACATATGCATACATAAACAAATTTGTATACATAATTCTGCTTGCACATAGTATACATAAATGAATTATAATAGCAAGGCTAGAAAAGTACACAAGCAAAAATCGTACTTGCAGTACATACTATTCTGTATTCTGTATATATATATATATTGTCCTATG